ACACAACACAGTTAAAATGTCACTGACACAATCAAGACATATGACTGTGCGTATGTCAAGGAACCCTTAACTCCACGTGGTGACATGCACAGCATCTCCAGGGTGGCAGGCAGCAATCACTCAGCATACAGGACACCGGCTCAGCACAAAACAGAAAGAAAAATTGGAGCAATGTGTAACAGAGGACAAAAATTTATAGAATACATTGTGAGTGCCTACTGTGTCACTTGGTCATGTCCCAAAACCTGCAAGCCTGGCACACCATTACACTCCTGCTCTTCAAAGCTACCCAGACCATACTTAACTTTGTAGAGGATCCAGAATTTAGTTTTCAAATGGGCTTTTTGCTATGTTTTTACTCCCAAATTCCAGCTCTAGTGAAACCTACACTGAAAAGCATAGAGACCATGAGGCTGCCTTCCTGGGCTTCTACACAGGCAGCAGGAATCAAACTCTGCAGACTCTCTGTACAAAGCCAGTGGAAGCCAGAGCAGGAGTCCTCCTTCCTCCCAGTTGCAGAGGAAATGTGTCTCAGCTACACAGCCACCTCCTGTGGCCACAAGGCAGGCAAGGGCTGAGGTAGAGGAGGTTTGCTGATGCCACATTTACCCTGCATTCTGGACACATGGGAACAGTTTTTGAAACAGTAACTCCCTTCAGACTGCATCTCACACCTGAGGCAGCCTCAACCCTGTCTATAAAAAATCCCCATGAGCAGTCCTCACCAGCAAGCAACAGCACAGAAAGGATACCAGTGCAAAGGTGGAAAATGGAGCTTTAAACAAGAAACAGTAATTCTGCATTTGGCTGTGTCCCCCTGCAGGCAGGTATTACAAAGCTGAAATGATCCTGCAGCTTGTGTTTAATTTTAGGAAACTGGTTAACCTACTGATTGCTTTTTGCAACTATACTCTCTGCCATATTTAGTGTTTATTCAACAGTGAAACATTTAAGCAGAGATCCTCCAGTCTCCTTCACCCACACTCAGGTGTGAGTTAAGATAATGTGAACCATACTTACATCATAAAAATAAAATCAAACAACTATCAAAGTAAGAGCTCCTATTTTGCGTCAAATACATTGCGTCTAGCAGCTGTTTGCAAGGTCTTCCTCGTTTTCTGCTGGCTACAACATCAAGCAGGAATAAACTTGTAAAGCTGGGGGAAAAGCCTCCAAGAGCCACTCCCCCTTCAGAACAGCGCTCCAGGATTTTCCATTCTGGGTGATGTGTCACACAGCAGCAGCACTCTGGACACACAGCACACACATCCCTAGTCTGACCTGGCTTTGCAGCTTCCACCTTTCCTGAGGGAGACATAGAAAAAAAGTCAGTATCCCACATTTTGAGTACCTCAGCAAAGAATGCTTTTGCTAAAACACTGTGCCTCAGAAAATGGACATTTTTCCCACTATAAAAGTAGCTTTGATATTTTATAAAGTTGCTGCTGTACCATTACAAAAAATGTCTCAATGACTGTGCATCTGCAAGCATTGTCTGAAATAGCTTGTAAGAGTCTTTCCACTGTTTCCGAAGAGGAAAACTTATTGCAGGGAAGGACTAAAATGCATCTACAGAAATCACGTTCAGAACTGCCCTGGGGCCCTGTCCTCATCATAAGGACCACGTTTAGTGCAGATTGTGGCACTGCAAGCTCTAAGTTGTGACTGGGATTTTGTTTTTCCAGACCTACACAGACTGGACTGAGCCCAAGCAAATCCTTTTGCATAGAGCAGAACAAATAGTTTTAGGACAGGTTTAAACTCTGCAATAGGTACCTAAGATTTCTAATTGCAGAGTTTACAACTTGATTTCCCCAGCAATCCAAACAATGTAACTTCCACTGTTTTTCTCTCTGGAGTTTAGTTCCTCTTCCAAAGATACATTTTAAGGAACATATCTACTCCCTTTTTATCTTCCTTTCCTCAAAATGGTATAACTTTCTGAAAACATGACAGCAAAACGGCATCTTCATATTTAGGCAATCTGTTTACTGTTTTATTTTTATATATTTCTACAATGCACACAAATTAGTTTCTCCTCCTCTCTTGTTAACACTTCACAAGTCATGTGCGTACACACAAACGAGCACCATCTCCTCCCTTCCCGGCAGCCTCCTTGGCTACCGTTCTTTTGCTAGCCCAGAAACCCTGTCCTGGATAAACATAACACACCTTAAAAACTAGTGCTGCCTTCAGGTCCAGTGTTTGCTGTATTTACTCACACATCAGTCCTATGGTAGATAAGTTGAACTACCAGCCACGACAGAAAAGGATTACTCAATTGAAAGCAAATGCCAAGGATGCAATACAGTTTGATTACTGAAACATTCTCCTTAGAATCCAAAACATGATGCCAGCAAATCATGGGGACACGGAGGATGGGGAGAAACAGGGACAGACACAAGACACAACACAAAGGGGACAAAAAAAAACCCAAAAATTCAGTCTTGTGCAATGACAATTTCTAGTAGGAAACTCATAGAGTCCTGCAAAAAAAAAAAAAATCAACTCTTTCCAACTATTTAAGATACTCTTGCTTACAAAATTTTCCAGTGTATTAAGACTGTCTAGCACAAGGAATTGGTTTCACAAACCAATTCTTCACACCATAAAGACCATCCTATCGCTTTAAAAAGGGAGAATATCCACAAGCAGCAATGAGCTATTACAAATACATTATCAGCTCTGGGAAAAAGAATCATCAAGTAATTACAGAGGTTATCAGGGTCCTTATCAGTACTCACTGCCAGCAGGCTACCTGCATATTCATTTCCCTCTCCATCACCACTCTGGCATGCCGTTTTCCAAAATAGTTTCTTCTATTGCATATGTTCATAAAATAATTTAAAAATAAATATCTGTTTATTACAGCAGTGATAACAGAGGCAGTATCTAGAATTGAAAACAGGGAATATATTTTTTCACCCAGTGAGCAGAACTCCAAACATTCCACATGCTGAAAAGCAGTATGCATTTTCAAAATAAAACAGTGTTCAGAACAATGCAAGTGAGAAAAATGTGCATGAAAAATGCAATTTTTGTCTTTCAGCCTGCTTGAAGAAGCAACTGCAAAGTCTCTCTATATATGAACCAAATTAACAGTCCATGAGCAATTTCTGTAGTCTGATTCCCCATCAATAATAAATGCCAAATTCAGATTAAAGCGAAGAACATATTTTTACCACCCCCAAACGCAGCAACTATAAAAGCCTTCTGCAATAAGCATTCTAACACAGCACAATCCACGCTGAGCTGATGTTCAACAGCATGTTGTTCTACACTCTCCTGACACAATGCTCAGAGGGTTGATCATATGGAAAAGGAGAAAATAAAAAAAGAACCCAGATACTGAACCCCTCATTCATGCAGGGCAAGAGCTCAGGACACAAACCTACTCTCCATTTTGAATCCAGGGTCCAGAATTCGTTCAAGATGCTCCTCCAGCCACGATCCCAACCTCCAAAAAGCAGCTCCAAAAGCACTGCCCACAGGTCACCTGCAGCTCACCAAGCCTTTGTACCACAGTGCACAGAGGTTTTAAATAGAAGGCTTCAAGAACACCATTATATACCTGCTCAGAGACTCCCAGTGCTTCACAGATTACTGTCTCTCTTGGGAAACACAGACACTTTTGAGAAAACTTTCCCAGTTATGGCTACACAAGAGTCCATGGTAGTTTTCAGTCACCCCCAGCTTCCCCAAGTCTTTTGCAATTTGAAACATTCCACACTAAGTCGCCTCTAAATAAAGTGTCGTTGTAATTCCTGTAAAAGCCATTTCTATATCAAAATGAACGCTGCTAACTCCCCAGATCATAAAAAAATCATACATAAAGCAAATCAAGTCCTCTGAATAAAGACAGCAACCAGAAAGAAATGTTATGGGGTGTTCACACGAATGTCTTGTTATAATTTAAGAGTTTGAGAATCCCTGCTCTCCTTAAACTAATCTAGTTAGACTTCAGTCCAAATATCACCTGACACTTGAAGATGTTAACAGGGAAATCACATATGGAAAAACACATAACCAGTGACCTTTCTTTTCGTGATGTATTCACTGGGTCTATGAGCTTTGAAGAGTTCACTCACTGAATGCACATTCAGTGCCTGTGATTCTACGGAGATAATTCAAGAGATGTGGTACTTGCTACAATATTTGCAATTTTAAACCCCAAATTAAAGACACTTCTCTTCAAGATTTAGGCTCTGTAATTTCTTTTACAGATGCTTCTTAGACTCCAGGGCTGAGATAAATTCTCCCAGGCTATCAGAAGCTGTAAACAAAATAACAGCCAAGTTATAACAGCACAACCCTACAAAGTACCCAGAGTTTATGAGTTTCCACGGATACGCACTAGGGCCACACCACAGGAGAAGGAACGAGTGCCATTTTCTCAGGACTGGAAGTATAGATCTTGCTCTCTCTTCCCTTACACTATGAAGGAATTAGTGTTACATGGCTGACACTGCCAAGCCAAGCAGTGCTACTTGTTTATCTGCTTTGTCACGCTGACTGCAAACATTTAAACACAAGATTCACACCCACTCCACATCTTGTAGGATGGTTATGAGTAAGCAACATTTCACATGAGCACCTGTCACTCGCCCTGAGCACGGGCTCTTCCGGGGTTTAACATCTCACCCAACTGCCCCGAGGACACGAACTGCGCTGTTCCTCTTAGGCGCTCCGAGCAGAGACGTTGCTGGAGGCGAGGGGACCGGCAGAGGGAGAGCGGGGAGCTGCCAGGTGCCGGCTGCCGCCGGACTCGCGCTGCCGCGCGGCGCTCCGGGCATCCCGGCCGGGCCGGGCCGGGCGAGCCGGCAGCGAGGAGCCGCTGCCCCGCGGCGCCGCGTCACGGATCTGCTGCTCCCGGCAGCCAATCGGCGCCGCGGCCGGGGACGGCGCGACTTCATTCATTCATTCATAAAAAAGAGGCGCAGCGCAGCTGGGAAGCGCGCCCTTCCCGGCACCCCCGCCCCGTGCGGGGCACGGATACTCACGGCAATCTGCCTCGTCACTGTTATCCGAGCAGTCGTCGTCCTCGTCGCATTTCCAGATGGCGGGGATGCACCGCTCGTTCCGGCACTGGAACTGGTTCTCCTCGCACTCCTTGACGGCGCCTGCGAGACACGGGGCCGCGCCTGGGTCAGCGGAGCGCGCTCCCACGGCCGGGCGGCGGGGGCATCCCGGGGCCGCCTCGCCGCTCGGCTCGGCCGCGGACAATCCGGGCAAGGCATCGGGAGCTGCCGCCGGCCCGGTGGAGGCTGCGGCTGGGCTCGCCAGGGCACAGCGGCTCGGTGCGGGGCTGGGCTCGCCAGGGCACAGCGGCTCGGTGCGGGGCTGGGGGAGACGCGCCCCCGCGGGAGCACGGCGGCGATCCCGAAGCTGCTTTGTGCAGGGATAAAAGGGGCCATCCCCGTGCTTCCCCGCATTGTTTTAAAGGCGGAGGGAAAAGGAGCCTGGGAATAGGATATGGTTAAACCCGAAACACAACAGACAAAGAAAAATTATAAAGCGGAGTGATGCTAGGACCTCCTGCGCATCCGCCGGGGCAAAACGCACCGACACCTGGGGACGCGGGGCGGAAAAGGCACCGGCGCCGTCCCGGGAAAAGGGACCTGACCCAACTAAAGTTGAGGGCGGGGGGAGAACGGAGCAAATCTGCTTTACAGACTCGATGCCACGCTGCTCTGATGAGGCACAAATCCCCTCTGAAAGGGATTAAAGGTGGCAGCTCCTGTCACCAGCTCTCGGGCTGCATTCGCCCGCTTGAAGAGCGTGCCCGGCCCCCGCAGGTCGCAACCCCCGAGCGTGCCCAGCCCTCCGCAGGTCCCAAACCCCGCGCAGGGCACCGAGGCGAGGTAGCATCCGCGGCCGCACATCCCGGGGTGCCCGTGCCGGCAGGACGCTCACCCCCTCCCCGGCAGCGCTGAGGCCGGGAGACCCCGGCGCTGAGGGAGAGAGGCCGTACCGCGCCGGACCCACCTTTGCCGAGGTGCAGCTTGAGCAGCAGCAGCTGGAGGAGCAGCAGCCGGGCGAGCGCTGGCCGGCACATGGTGCTCGCTCCCTCCCTCCCTCCGCCGTGACGCGCCCCGCTGGGCGGGCCCCGCGCGGCTCGGCCCCGGAGAGCGCGGCCGCCGCCGGCAGCCCGCCTCCCGGAGGAGCGCCAGAGGGACACCTGGGGGACGCCTCCCCCGGCGGCCCGCGGGCACCGAAAGGAAGCCCCGCAAATTGCACGGCCCCGAGCTCCCAGGCCGGGCCCGTCACCCTGGAGCTCTCGCTGATAGGCGGGCCTGGGCCCTGCCTGGTCTGACCGGGTCAGGCCTTCAGGTCCTGAGCCTCCCTTGGTGGCCCTGTTACAATGGCAGCCTCATTCATTATCTTAATTTTAGTAAGCCAATTAAACGTGTGGTCTCCTCTAAATGGCCTCGAGTCACAAATTGTGTGCTCTCCTCATTACTTCAGATCTCCCACTGAGGGGTTTCATTATGACCATACTGATGTGGTCATCTCCATTTAATTGTATTAGAACTAGTGAAACAAGTACCAAGTATACTAAAGGTGGGCACCTCTCTTCGTAGGGACTGCTTACTCTTTCTACTGCCTAAGCACATGCGGTCTGATCAGTAATAACAATTGGTTTCCAAGCTATCAGGGGCCTTATTTATCACTCCATTTGCACGGTGCTGATGAAAAAGTAGTTCAGTCTTTAATTAACATTTCAGCCTTCTTCATAGTCAGGATTAACAGTATTCCAGTAATTGTATTATGAGAAGATACTTTTCAAGAGTAACTTGAATCTATCATCACAACAGAATTAACATGATTATACGTGGAGTGCCATTTAAAAAAAAAAAAATTAAATCGAGCACTAATTTTACATAAACCAATGTAACAAAGCTTTTCCATTTCAAAGCCTGAAATGCCATTGACTTAAGAACTGGGCTGCCATTTAAAAATGTACCCGTGTCTTTAACAAAAATTTTGCAAGTCATTAGTCAGCAGTGTCACTAATGCATTTGAATCATGTGAAGAGAAGAGCTAATCATTGAGCTATTTCACTAGCAGCTTACAGAGTATTAACAATTTATTCAAGCCTGTTTGAACAATTTTTAGCATGAGAAATGTAGTGCATATTTGTGTTGGCTGCATCAATGTGATAGATTACAATAATTGCTTAAAGCAGATGAGGTATTTATAATACATTAGGTCAAATTTCTCTTTTTTAAATGTGTCAAAACACAGATTAATAAAGCTACTGTAATTCATGGCCTCGTTCTTCTCTTTTGTAAGTTAGTTTATTAGTTTAAATTGGAAGTGGCTCCAAAGGCAATAATGAAGCTATCTGGTACAAAACAGGTGTGAGTGTGCACAGCATCAGTCACAGCAATGTTCTGCTGTGATTCCTGATGGAATTTTGTTTCATTTAAAAAATCAACCAAACAGGTGTTTTGGCCTGAATGCCTCTCATAGGAAACAACACTAATGAGATCTTTTTGAGTGACCTTCTCTGGTGACAGCTGAGCAGCAGCAATTTCAAGAGCCTTCACTGACCAGCCATTGTAGGGGCTACTGGTAGCCTAGTACCATCTTGTGGACATATGTGTCTCTGAGGAATTGCAGAGGCAAGAAGGAAACTGGAGGTGCTATGGGAGAAGTAGATTGGGCAAAGGAAGCCATTTGGTATGAAAGAGAAATTAAATATAATTTCATCCATGATGATCCAGTAGTTAAGAGTGTTAATGTACCTTTTAATTTACCTCTGTGGTTTATTGCTTCTAGTTGGTCACACACCACTGCACATTAAACAACAAATCACTGATCAGACACCCACTAACAACAAGGGGGTACATCAAAACAGTGAAATGTTCTTTCTAAAGAGCTCCATCAGCCAGCTCTCTGTTGTCATCCATACCATTCCTTTCATCTATTTTACAAATTATTTTTATAGCTCAATTTTTTTCTTAACATAGAATCCAGGCCTTGTTTCCATATTTACATTTTTCAGTCATAGGTCCCTTAGATCCATATATTTCTCATGCTAACTGCAGCTTATACATCAGAGAAGTCTCTTCAGTGTCAGGATGAATAACTGACTCCCTGCACCCTGGATTTTCTGCAGGCTTGTATTCATACACCAGGTGCTTTACTCCCCCAGGTGTGCAGTTACACACCCTCAGTTCACAGAGTGGGAACCGAATCATTCAGAAGCATGTGGAAAGTGATGCACCAAACTTATTTTAGTGGAAGTTTCTCTGGTGTGTCCAGCTTTTGCCCACTGTATGTACACTTCTCCTTGTTTTGCAGAACATCACTACGCAGGTTCAGACCAGGAGTCCATCTTGAGCAATGTGCTCCAGGCATTTGCACCTGGTGTGCAATGTGTGTGCAATGCCCAGGAGCATTTCAGCGTCCACGTGGCAGACAAGAGGCCACAGAGTTGCTGTGCAAGATGAGGTGACCCAATGCCATCCACCCTGACTTAGAGAAAGGCACCAGATTTTACCTAATTTAACACTGGGAGCCTGGGTGTGATGGTGCCAAGAGTCCCTGCTTTTTTACTCACACTCACAGTCAGCAATGTCAAGAAGCTGAGCTCTTCCCCTGCCCTGTGACCACTACTGGGGAGAAGCCCCAGTGAAGAGAGCTCTCAGGAATGGAACAATGACAGGTGCTTGATTAATTTATCAATAAAATCTTTGCTAAAAGTAAAAAAAAAAGTATAATGACAGACTGTGAAGGAAGAGAAACAACAGGAAAACTGTCTGTTTGCAAGGGCACTTTAATGACAGGTGATATTACTTTTCATTTGCAGAAATCCCTTTTTGCTTGTGTGAAAGCAAGTTAGGGCTCTTAATTCTTTAGTTTGAGGGGGTTTTCTTATTTTTTTTCCAATTCATATTTTTATTTGTATCTGACTAAATGGTGTCTCTTTGATCTCCTTTTTCTATGCTTTTATTTTTGGAACTTTCATTGTTTAAAAATGCTTTGTTCAATGTCTTCTATAATCTCCTTTGTTTCTTAAGGCTTAATTTTATTCTCTTTTAACTTCAACTTCTTTACAGAGAACTCCAATCCCCTAAGTCAGCTGTTTGCTGGTTTGCTTTTCATATTTCTTACTTAAATCCATGCTCTGTACTTCTTTGCCTGTTGGATGCATCTTCCCTTTTCACATTTTAGGAACTTTTCACAACTATCATGACTTTTCTTTTGCTTGTTTCATGTCTAAAAGGTCAGTTTAAGCACCTTAACATGCTCCAGGTCTTCTAATGATATCCCTATTTTTAGTTAGCTCATAGCCTAGTAAAGAAAGGAGGACACAATCAGGTTTAAATCAAACTACAAACCCCATCAGTTTGTCATCCAAGAATTGTCTTTCCTGCAAGCGAGAATCTCTCACTTTCACAGCCATAATTATTCTTTGTCCTAAAACCCACTGCTCCTTTATTCAAGCATATATAGCAGTATGATATAGCACTGCCACACTGCTGGCCAAATAGAATCTCAGGGGCACTTCTTGTCCTGCAGCATTTAGTGACCAAAGCTTCCACTGAAATGTAAAACAGGCAATAACCACATTTACACACAAACAGATGATGGTCCCTACCTCACACTCATGGATTCTTGTCTTCAGAGCAATTCCGAGTTACAAGCACTCCCTTAAATTTTACATATAACTGCAACCCTGCAACCCAAGTTAGTCCACTTTAAGTATCAGCTCATGGTTTTCCTGAGCAAACCAACTGCAGCATCACCCAGCAGCCTGCAGCACTACCCTGGCCATGTGAAAACAGCTGGGAAGAGCTCCCTGGATGGGCCTGGAGAACCCTGCCCCATCACACCACTTTTCCAGTATGGCATCAAATCCATCTCCTTCCACTTCATGCTCTCGTTCCTACCTCTCTATCGCAATTCTTTCAAGGGAGTATGGAGAAGGCAAGAGATGCTTTGAAGTCCATTGGGAAAGTTTTTATTCAGCTGGAGAGGAGTTAACACAGCCTTCTTTCCCATCCCAAGGTTGAACACCCTGCCACAGCAGTATCCCTAGACGATGGATCTCTGAGTGCAGCCAAACCTACCACCTCTGTAGGGACCTTTCCCATTAATTTTAATGAGTATAAGAACGAAGGTAGCAAGGAGGGAAAAAAAAGTGTGGATTAGGTATCTGGCAAGATCTTTTGCATGCCAGAGGAGCACTGCTACAGTGTGCTCTGCTCTTTGCTGTTGTGCAGTGACTAATCACTGTGAAAGCTGACAAAAATGCAGACTTGAGGCCACAGTTCGTAACAAGTACAGTGGGATTTTTTCAAGATGTCTGACTTCAAACTGCTCATCCTATTACTACTAACAAAGGAATCATGAATCGGAGCAAAACTGAAGTTGACAGTGTCTCGTGTAGCTCTACAGTGACCATACACCAGTGCTGTAAAGCAGATTAGTACCACGGGCTGCTGTTTGCTCCGTGGCTCCCAAAGGGCTTAGGCACAAACAGGGAAAAATTAGGAGCAGCACCAAGACTGGATTAGATTTTTTTTCCTGATAAAAAATCCTGCTAGCTAGATGCTTGCTCTGTATTTCTCCCACACCTTATGTGTTCCGGCTCCAGTGCTGCTAAGTGGTGTTTTGTGTGTGGATGGCTGAAGAGGAGACAAGGTCTGGTTCTGCGAGGTGCCAAATTCCCTCAGCTCCCAGCAACCCTCTGGAAAGCTCTAAGCATCTTGAAGGCTCACAGACAAATTATTTTAGCATTAATTACAACATCAATGAGAAAATAATACCCAAATGGGAATTTAGGATGATGACTGTGTGGAATGTTTCTCATTATTTTGGTATGGATTCTGTATGACAGCAGAACACTTTAAAACCCATCTTGCTTTCAAGCTCGTGCTGGATCTATTGCCTTCGTGCTAAAGCAGCGGGCACAGTCTGTCATCTAATTTGTGAATTCTCAGAGCTGCTTGACAAGGATGTCTTTCTTTATGAAGGAATATGAACCCAATACTTATTTCTCTTTTTAAAGTCAAAACTCATTAAAAGCAAATTTTTCAAGTTGGATT